AATTTTTCTTTCAACTTTAATCTGTCAGTTATTGAAAGCACTACATACTGTTCTTCATGTCTTATTATTAATTATTTCTTAGCTGTACCTCATGAAATAAGTCTAACTGGGCTAATTAAAACTATTATATGCATAATTTTAATCATAACTATTTTAGGCAACAGTAATTTTAAAAGGAAATTCTTTGGAAAGATTAAGTAACAGAGCAGTTCTTAAACTATAGACGAAAAACCCTATGTGATTCATGAATTAATAATCAAGGCTTGCATGAGATTTTCAAATTAAATTTTGGTATTTAATTTCAGTAAAAAAAAATTAAGTTGTATTAATTATCGCTTATAATGGTCTCTGGTTAAAAGTATCAACTATATATACAAAACAAAATTTAATAAATAATTGTATATAGGCCTTTTCCTACACTAATTTGTTTACTTTAAAAACTCCAGTTTTTAAGAATCAAGTTAGATAAAACTTTATTATCTTTATTTTACTACAAAACAAGCTCCTTAATCCTAAGAAAGCGGCATTTCTATTTTGAAATGAATAAAAGTGTTAATTGATTGCTAGGAAATATCAGGTTTTAATGTAAGTTTCTAGCCACTACAAATATCGTCTGTGCAAACAGTTCCCGTTGGCGTATTTAATCATATTTTGTCAAACAGTTTTCGGCATTTGAAAGAAAGAGACTTGCTTTAGATTATTGTGTTGTGAAATTATTAAAAAAATATTGTTATCATTAAGTGCAAGGTGTCTGAAATGGAACTATCATGCTGCCAGATTAGAACTATCATTTACTTCCAATTCTATTGCAAAATGTCAGCTACAGAATGTTACCAAATCATGTGTACAGCTTTAGGCACTAATCTTGTATCATATGACACTGTGAAGGTTTGGTACTGAAAATTCAAAAACAAGGATTCAAGAAACAGAGTCCTCTGGCCGTCTTGCTGACATTGATGAGACCCGCCTGTAAAAACTTGTGGAAAAAGATCAATATGCAACCACTTGAGAGCTTTCTAAGGAGTTAGACGTTAGTGTCATGTCCAATAGTTGTGCTATGCATCACATAAACTTGACATATAAGTTCAATCGCTGGGTACCGCTTGAGCTGACTCAAATAAGGGCAGATGTGTTCGAACCTGCACTAGTCTGTTCGAATATCTGGACCAGATCATGACTTGTGATGAAAAGTGGATTTACTTCAACAACACAGGCCAATAAGGGGCCTGTGTCCTGTGAACCCTTCGGCAGTGTCACAAAGTACAATTTGATGAATAAAAATATCATGCCTTGTATCTGGTGAGATTGCTGGATATTTTTCTCTAAGAGTATCTGGATCAAGATAGCTAAGGTGGTCTGCACCACCCATGGTACCATCTAAGTGACTTTATGTACAACGACAACAGAGCATAACAATATTTGTAATTTTATATAATAAATTATAATTTAATGCAAAAATACTATTTAATTTGTAAAAATTAAAGCAATAGTTACAAATATGAATTTAGTAAGCAGTTTCTAATTATGGAAGTTGATAGTTAAAGTTGTGAAAATATGAACATCATATGATATGGTTGTTAACTTTTTGTGTTGATTTGCTTCACTTTCTCAAAATTTGCCTCAGTGGGTACTAAAATTTTCTTATATGATAGTGCTTAGTCATTTTACTATAGGTAGACACAACTTATGCAAATTTAGCTTTCAGATGTCATTTTGATATTTAAGAATTGTATTTTACACCCTATATATTATGTCTATACGTTAGCATTGTTTTATTCAAAAATTTCCATCCTATGTATCTACAATTATTTTTCATGTCATCATGTATCTGTTTTGAGCACTTTTGAACAATTAAATTACATATATTTTATTCAAAGAAAGGTAATGATAATTTTATGTCTATTCAACAGCAACAGTTTATTATTGACTTTGAAAAGAGAAAATTTATAAAACTCTTTCTCCCTGTATCCATAAAGCAAGGCTGCATTATTAGCATCAAAAGAGATTATACTCTGCCCTCCAAAAGTTAAGAAACAGCATGTTTTTTTGTTTGTTTGTTTACTTTGAAAATGAAGCAATATAGAAACAAATTTACTGGACATGTTCACTAAACAGGTCTTTAATGATTGAGACATGGAATGCTTCTTAAGATCAACACAAAATTGCACTCTTGGAAGAGAAATCCAGTCTTGGAAGAACAGCATATCAAAGTTTTTTTGAGGAAAAATGGGGTGGTAGCATTACAAAAATGGGTTCTAATAAGGAAATGTGTCCACCCCTAGATGCAATACATTGGCAACAGCAATATTCCATGCTGTCAATTAAGATATCGGTCAGTGAAATGAGAAGCAACTACCAGACACGGAGTAATCCTTATTCAAGTTCATCTAACGACCATAGAGGAGGACTTAAAGCAGCAACTTGTCGCCCAAGGTAGTCCCAAAGATGCTGTATCAGATTCAGGTCTGGGGATTGGGCTGGCCATTCCATCCACTTCATACCATGACCCTCAAGATATTCTTCAGCAACCCGAGCTCAATGCGGTCGTGCATTAGTGTCCATCAGAAGAAATCCAGGACCAATAGCAGCAGCATATGTGCAGACAATATTGATCAAGGATTGTTCTCGATATCTTACACTGGTCAAAGTTCTTCCATGGAACACATGCAGGTCAGTGTGACCACCAAGAGAGATCACCAAACCATTATTATAGCACCTCTTTACTTGTGTCTTTCCACAATGTTGGAATTGGTTGTATGTGGTGCATTGTTCCATCCAGTTCAGCTGATGACCTGAATCACTCTCTATTGTGAGCCTGAATGTGTTTGTGAAGAGAACAGGCACCCATTGTTGACTGGTTTAGGAGATGTGTCAGGCACCCATTACCACTGGTCCACTGGTCCAGGAGACGTGTTCTCTTGCCCAACCTAAACAGGTACCTTTGTGTCCTCAGGTCAAGGGGATCCAAATAACTGGTCATCTTATATACAGACCTGTATTGTGCAGGTGTCTGTGCATTGTAGTAGCTGAGATTCTTGTTCCTGTTTGCCTATAAATGATCTGCCATGAGCTAAGGCACATTAATGTTACTCCTCCTTTGGGCCAAAAGAGCTAAATAACGGTCTCCCACAGTAGGTATGCCTGGAACATGACTTCTAGGCACAGAATCCTTGTATTCAAACTGATTCCATAGTCGGTGGACCACACCTACAGGAGACATTCAGACGTCTAGCAGCATCAGCTTGTGACATCCCCATTTTCATCCATCCAATTGTCTGCCACCTCAATGAATCAGGCAAATGACTTCTCCTGGACATTGATAGACTCTCCTGAATATTATTCACAAAACTATAATAACAACTGAAGATCAACACTAGTGAACAAAAATTACAATTTTTGCATTTTTTCTCCAACTCCTATAGAAGTACAGTTAAAAGTCTTTAATCCGGACTCGTCGGAACTTCAGCAATTCCGAATTATCAGTTTTTCCGGATTATAGATCATCAATTTAAATCAGGTAAGATGGCATGCAGAAATTATAAAATTAAAATATGAAACTGTAATTTATGAAATAAAGAGCAATTATGATCTAAAGGGTATCAAAATTTACAAAAAAAAAAAGGCTTAATATTTCTTTGTTTACTTTATTAAACATTTCTTTCAACGCGTGCATGCGTAAAGCATACATTATGCATAGTCGAAATTAGAAAATTGCAATCAGAAAACTATTTGATGTGTATTCGTGATATTTATAATGATGAGGAAATTTATTTAAATTATATCAAAGACGGAGTACATCGAGATGAAATACTACATTTAGTAAGTAATTATATAAGCCAAATAAAATAAAAACATCTGCCCTGAAGATGAGGATAGTGCTGACAGATGAACTTGCAGTTCATTGCGTGCCGCGACGTCCCCCCCCCCCCGCAGAGCAGCGTGAAATATGAAATTGATAAACAGATTTCGGAATTAAGACACAATAACACGCCGAATAAATACCAATTCAGAAGTCAAACAACAAAAATCAGCGTTATATTTTCAATATTTTCACAGGACTTGTTTCGATGGTTTTACCGAACCACCATCCTCAGCTGCAAAACCTCAAATGAGGTCATTGAAACTAGTCCAGTGAAAATTTTGAAAATATAACGCTGATTTTTGTTGTTTGACTTCTGAATTGAGATTTCGGAATGGTTAGAGAAACGAAGGATATGCCTTTATCCATTTTTTGCAGCAATTCCACTTTTTGTTTGATGGACATCGAAAATGCTTTAGCTTTGTTGATCCTTTGGCAGCTCCAGAATCGGAAATTCTTTTTGACATAATCGAAAGTTCAAGCTTACTTTTATAAAACTGCTCTAACAGTCTGCAAAAAATAATAAGCTGGATCGAATTAGAAGATTAAGGAACAACGCAATCTGCAACATTAACTGATATAGATAATTAGATAATTTTAGCTTAGCTTATACCGTACATTAAACATTAAAAGCAACGCGTTTATGCATGCGCAGAAAGTTTGTAGCTTTGAGGTCCAGATTCTAGATCATTCCGGATTATGGACGTCCAGATTAAAAAACTTTTGACTGTATTCATTTCTGTAAAGTAAAAGTGGTAGCTATTGTTTTTGTGTATATTTTCATAAATTTCATTACTGTCAGGCATGTGAACTGTGAATTTAAACGTTACTGACATTTTTGTATTGGTGAGTTTTGAAAAGTATGCTGAGTGCAGTATACATTGTATTCTTATTCATACTTGATGATATACTTGTATGTTAAGCTCACGATTATGCTGAGATGTCTTGCCTTTTGTATTTCATTTTCTTTATATTTTCTGTTATGTCACTGTCTTAACTTTTAGTCTACAAATAAGTATACTGTAAACTAATAGGCATTGTATGATAAGTGGGAGAGGGATGACTGGGTATTCAATTATAAATTCCCTTCCACTTAGCATCATTAAGTTATTTTTTATATAAATATATCTGTTCTTTTCAGCATGCATTTTCATGTGTGGTCCATTTTGCAGCTTTGAAAGCTGTGGGAGAATCATGCAGATTGCCTTTAGATTATTACAAAAACAATGTAGGAGGCACTGTAACGCTTTTGGAAGTAAGTTCTGAACTGAATCTTTAATCCTAATTAATTTACACTTTGAATTTATTTCATAACCATACATTATTTAAAGCAATGTACAGCAAATTTATAGGTATATTTTTATGCTCATATGTAATATTATGTTATTATTTGTGAGTAATAAAAGAAATTTGTAGGTGTGTTGAATCTTCTAGTCTTCATTCTGAAGACAGTTTAGGTTATCTGATTGTAAATTATTTTACACCCAAGTAATTGTTTTATTTATTTTTTTTCCATATCTTTCAATATAAAATTTGGGATGTTTTGAGATGTTTGTCTTGGTTTAAACCCAGGCAAATGGGCTGACTATATGAATGTTTTCATAGTTTTCTCCTTGTGTAGTATGAATACAAGTCAGTTTCTCTTAGAAAGTCCTTCACTAAGGCATATTTTTCCTTAGGCAGATTGCCCTCATGTGTTTTGCAGTATCCAAATAGCCTGACCTAATTTAACATAACCTAAGATTTTTGTTAAGTATTTAACCAAAGGGGAAGCATACATCACTAGTATCATATTAATAGACTGGCTTCTTAGGCATACATGCTCTCTGTTTCTGTTTATTTCAAAATGCTTTTCCTAATAATACATTTATTTTGTTGTGATGTACAAAATGTTGCTAGAGAGTGATGTGATTTGTGTGAGGCATGGGATCCAAAGACTGGATCATGAAATCCTAGTCTATTTGGTTAGATCCTTACAGCAGCCATAATGGTCCGTCTTCTCATCATATTTGATGAAAGTCTTGCAGCCATTATAGTCCTAGTGCTTTCTCCACTAGTATCGAGGAGAGTGATAAGTAAGCTAAAGGCAATGTTGAATACCATGTTACTTTGACTAATGAAGAGCAAAGCTGGAAGAAAGAAAAGTGGTTATTTAAATGACAGGAAAAAACAGAAGCGAGGCCATTTTCACAGAGGAATAAACAAAGAGTAATGTAACAGACTGACCAAGAGAGAAGTACAAAAAGCCATCAAGTGTGCAAAGACTGAGCAGAGCAGGTTAAAAAAAAGTGACATGTGATGACCAGCGATGGGACGAGAAGGAGATTTCTGGCCATTGTTGTGAAAATTTATAGTTTTTATATCATATACAGTTAAAAGTCGTTACTTCGGACACCAATAATCTGGATGATCTAAAGGACCTCAAAGCTACAAAAAATTCACATGCATCGGCGTTGATAGCGTAAGAGGGGGCGAATTCGGTGAGTTGCGCATGCGCAAAATACGTTTACGAATGCACGTTTAATGTATAACGGACGGTATAAGCTAAGCTTAAAATTATCTAATTATCTATTTCAGTTATGTTGCAGATTTGCGTTTGTTCCTTAATCTTCGAATTGGATTCTGGCCTTATTTTTTGCAGACTGGTTAGAGAGCATTTTATAAAGTAAAGCTTGAACTTTTGATTTGTCAAATAGAATTCCGATTTATTATATACTAATATGTAAGGATCTACAAAGCGAAGAATGTTTCGGAGTCCATTAAACAAAAAGTGGAATTGCTGCAAAAAATGAATAAAGGCATAACTTTGTAAACTTTAATGTTTGTTTATCTAAACTTGTTTACTTTACGCGCTGTGGCACGCAATGAATTGGAAGTTGATCTGTCAGCACTATCCTTATCTCAGGGCAGATGTTTTTATTTTATTTGGCTTATAATTGCTTACTAAATGTAGTATTTCATTTCAATGTACTCCGTCTTTGATATGATTTAAATCAAATGCCTCGTCATTATAATCCGCTTCCGATAGCGAAGAAAGTGACAGAGGTTATTGAAAACCAAAAATTTTCGATTGACAAATTAGTTGGTATTCTCGACACGGCAATTATAGGACTTGAACAGCGGAACTTTGTAACTGAACAAGAAATTATGTCTGTTTATAGAATTAAAGAGAATGTATTATCACATAAAAAACGAAGACTACTAAGCAACTTACATTGAAAAAATGTTTAATAAAGTAAACAAATGAATATTAAGCTTTTTTTTTTTGTAATTTTGATACACTTTAGATCCTAATTGTTCTTTATTTCGTAAATTATGGTTCATATTTTAATTTTTAATTTCTGCATGCCATTTTTTATGCCATTTTACAGATTTAAACTGATGATCTATAATCCGGAAAAATCAATAATCCGGAATCGCCGAAGTCCCGACGAGTCCGGATTAACGACTTTTGACCGTAGTATATTTTGCAGTAAGGCAAATTTTATGAGATTTCATAAATCTCCATATTGTATGTTAATCTGATTAGGACTTATCAGTAGATTCTTCAAGGACAGTATTTTAGGTGTCTGAATTTTTGAGTTTCTTCCTGATGTATAGAAATACTATCTATATCCATTGCTTGTGATTATGCAGCAGAAGTATATGTTAGAACAGACCTCTCTGACTTCAAAATATATGCGGTCAGTACCCTGCTTTTTGAATTGCAATAGTTGTTTCTGTCTGTGTACTCTACTGGCCCATTATTTTCTACAGATATCAATCCAAGAGAAGAACCTGGGGAAGAGTGGAGAAAAAAATTTAATACTTTAGCTGTGTGACAATTTTATATTTTGTTATTAAAAGTAGCTGTGAATATAAGTGAGTATTCTGTGTATTTTGTGTAATTTCATTACTGCTGTCTGAAAAGTAAGGCAAAAATGGAATAATTATAGGCAGTTTTTCCAATGTATATGTCGCTTTAAAAAGGGAGAAGTATTAAAAATCTAAATGCAAAATTAATGGACTTAAATTATAATAAGAAAATAACTGTTCTTTTTTGATGTTTTAATTAAATTTTTATGCAATCTGCTTTAAATTCCAAATTAGTAATTAAAAAAAATGTAAAAAATGTTTTTTAAAACTTTGTGGATTTAAGAATTGTAACACTTTACCGCCCGCTGGCAGTTCAACAGCATACGTATATCCGACCGGCCGCTCAGCCGCAGATTCTCGCTGCCATCACTTTTGTCACTTTCATCATTATTTTCGTCAGGTATCACTTCTTGAATAACTGTCAGGACAATCTGATAAATTGTCTAAATAAAACTCTCCAGTACCATTTTTTTTTCGCTCATCGTGAACGGTAAATTTGTTAAAAAATGTGTGGCGAGCAATGTACCTCAATACTAATAATAAAATGCAGATGATTTAGCAAATGGTAATTGTTTATCGCCATGGCTACTGATTGATAGGCTATTTTTAAGTAACCTTGAGAAAAAAGTGATTAATAGGCTATTGGTCGGTAGGCATTGGTGAAAAAAAGCCGATTAATAAGCTATCGGTCGGTAGGCCTTGGCAATAAAACGCTGATTAATAGGCAATCAGTCAGTAAAGTGTTAATTGCACTACTTTCATTCCATTCATTTTATACATAAACGTGGTTAACCATTCATTATTATGTTTGGCAGTTTCCATCTCAGTAAACATGCTCAAAATTTAGTTTTCATCTGGCCGAACTTAATTCTGTGCAGTTATTCTATTCGAAAGTAGTTATTAAATAACTTACTGAAAATAAGATGATCACTACTGTGATAGCTTCTGCAGCATTTTGACAAAGTGAAATTTGGTTAATCATGTATTTAAAATTTATCTGGCACATAGTTAAAATGACATTAAAAATGAGATAAAATATGATACTTATGTATTATCCCTTCAACGATGAAACTCTCCAAGAAGTGCGATTTAGCACCAATTACAGAAAATCGCGATATCATAACATCAGCAATTTTGTTTTGTGTATCCCCGGTTGATTTTTGACAAACAATTTTTTTTGTTTTTATGGTTTGGTTTATTGAGATTATGGCAAAGCATATTAGGGCTGTCTGACTAAGAGGAGGGGTGTCTTTTTGGTGGATTTTCTATGGGAAACTGGCTTGTATACATGGAGAAACCACAAAAATTATTATGGCTATTACATATGTGGAAACCACAAAAACACCCATTCAGCTAGCCCGTTCACCTAGAGTCAACCCCAGGTCGGAATTACCAATGTTCAGCAACTTTACCGCTCAGCAGCTGGTGGGCTTTGTCTTTATAAACAAGGCTATAAGAACTTATTTTGCTGCCTTTTTGATAAAACACAATTAAAATTAGAACATGCCTTCTACAGAACAGAAAATACTGGATTATTTTCAAAAATTATGGGATCTTACCGTAAAAAATGGTGTGTATTAGTGAAAACAATTATATTCAACTTGGTGTGAACAGCAAGAGACTGGAAACACTGCCTTCAGGAAGTCTGTACACATAGCATTCTAAATAAAGCTTTTGGTAGAATCAAATGGCCTAACAAAATAGTAGAAATTAACGAAAGCAGTTTTACGTGTCTCGAATACTTATTGCTATTAAATAAAGAGGCATCATTTTCTCAGACTACCGCAGGAAAGATTGATGCGATTTTGGCGAGGTCTTTACCACCTTTTATGGTTGGCAGGATAAGAATACCTAAGTACCCAAAATACTGTAATTTGATATTCTGGAACCAAATTTGAACATAAATTAAAGTACAGAAGCTTTCACAGATGAGCTATCAGTTTCATCAGCTGGAAGCGATAAGTTGATGACATTCATTGTTTTTTTGTTGATTTCTGCAGGGTTGCTATACCCAGAATTTACATCCAGATGTATGGAAGATTGAGGTGAAGGTCTCTATTGCAACATGACTTCATTGCAATTTCATGTGTTTCTCTAATTTTAAGGCTGTTTTGATGTCAAAGTTCGGTGAAGATTTTGATGGCTTGATTGTGATTCGAAGTGCTTGCAATGGAGATATTCCTCTCAATCTTCCATTCATCTGAACATCAATTCTGATACAGTGACCCTGCAGAAACCAGTAAATGATGAAAAACATGATGGAACCATCATTCCAGCTCCAGCTCATGAAGGAGACAGTTTGCTTGCAAAAGCTTCTGTCCTTTTATGTGTGTTGAAACGTGGTTCGAGCATGTCAACCTAGCATATTTTATCACTTTTTTAATTTGATTGTTACAATTTCCAGATAAGTAACTAAATTCCAAGATAATTTCTAGTATAAATATGTCCATTGCATACTGTCCACTAGATAAAATTCAAAATTGTTTCCATTGTGTCTAAATTATATGCAGTGTTTAGTGTTATTTCAATATTGTATGATTAACATTTTAATTAGATTTTAAACTTCTTCCATCCCTCTTGTCCTTTCTTGTTTTTCATTAAAATAGAATTTACTTAATATTATAAATACACTTAAAGCTAGCTGAATGATTCTTTTATATAGTTTTTATTTCACTTAACATGATTAAAACTTATTTTTAATCAAACCGTTCTCATAGTTTATTGTTTATAAGTTTGTTATCCTTATATTTGAAAAGAATCGTAGAAGCCCACATAATTTTTAATTGTATATATCAAAGATTAATTTTTTTTAATTTGTTCTATATTCCAGTTTTTTAATTATTTTGTTTTTTCTTTGAGAGAGAGAGAGAAAGGAACTGCCTATTTATCTTTTTGTCATATTGCTTTGGTTGTAACTTCATCAAGTATTAAAATTTTTTTTAAATCCCATATGTTAACATGATATTTAATTTCTCCAAGTAAACTTATGTACTGTGTATGAAATGTTTCATAATATGTAATGAATACTTCCATTTCTATATTTCTGAGGTGAATATTTATATCATATTAATAAAATGTATAGTTAAAATTTTAAACATGTGTGTCAAATTTGGTATTTTTTCATAATATCACAGACGTATATATATTTTTTTAATTCTATATATTAAAGTGATAAACAAATTCGCCATGTTGAGTCATTTGTTAGGTATAAAATGTATCATATTATATAATATGTTCTATTCTAATATATTAATAAAACATATGCATTAAAAAACTATGCCATTCTCTACTGAATATTACTTTATTGGTAATCTACTCAAAATCTTATACCTAATATTCTTATCTGAAGATTAAACAAAACATCTTTTTTAAAACATGTCAATATTGCTATGAGCTAACTTCCTGTTTAGAATGATTTAATTGAATGGTATAATACATTTTATTTGAATTGTTCGTGAATATTTTTGTCTGTTGTACTGAAAAATTAGTTTTGTGTATTTACTGGCTTTTATTTATGTATTTATTTAAGGTTATGCAGAAACATGGTGTGAAGAAAATAGTTTTTTCAAGTTCTGCCACTGTTTATGGAGTTCCACAGTATCTCCCTATAGATGAGCTGCATCCAGTTGGTTCTACATGCACCAACCCTTATGGCAGAACAAAATATTTTATTGAAGAAATATTAAAGGATGTTTGCAATTCAGAAAAGGTATTTTTGTCATGAATTTTATAATTATATTTATCATTTAATATTTCTTTGAGTATTTTCAAGTTAAATACACTGTAGTTCTAATTTTACAAAATATTTAATAACAAATGTTAATTAAATATAATGCTTTCAAGGAATGGTCTGTAATAATGCTTCGCTATTTTAATCCTGTTGGAGCACACGAGTCAGGTATTATTGGAGAGGATCCTCAAGGAATTCCAAATAACCTTATGCCTTATATTGCTCAAGTTGCTGTTGGGCGGCTGAAAGAGCTCAAGGTTTATGGCAATGATTATAAAACTGTTGATGGCACAGGTAAATATCAAAATGTTTAGCACATTTTGTCCAGTATTTGTTCTGAGAATTAAAAAATTGAAAATCCAATTTTATACCCATTCATAATTATTTTTTGTCTTTGGTTGGTACGGTGGTTCCAAAATTGTGTGCCGTAAAATATTGTAAAAACTTCATAATTAATTAAACCAAGCATTTAGCATAATTAAACAAAAAAGCAAAATGAGAAGCTAAAAATATATCAATTTTCTTGTGTGGTTTGTTTTTACATGGCCCTCTATAAAAGTAAAGTTGCCAGCGCAGAATATTGTTGAAAACGCAAGATGGCAGCTTTCTTGTAAAAATATCGCTGCAAGAGCTAAGGCTCATTACCTGTTTGAAATTCTTGATACATTCATATCTAAAAATAATTTGAATTGGCTTAAGTGCATTGGTGTCTGAAGTGATGGAGCTTGCTCCATGCCTGGCTGGCATTACATTACAGGCATTTATTCAAAGCAAGCCATCAAATACGCTGTGGGGCCATTGCATTATTCATAGAGATGCACTTGTGTCAAAGCATCTGAGTGCTGCACCGAACCAGGTGTTAGAATGTGTGATGACGATAGTAAATTTTATAAAATCTTGTCGATTGAAAGCAAAGTTCTTAAAAATATCTCTTAGGATATGGGAGCCAAACATTTGTCTTTGTTGTACTTGAGTAGTACACAATAGCTTTCTCATGATATTATTTTATTGTATACTTTTGAATTGCAGCAAGAAAAATTTGTTTTCCTTAAAGGAGGATGCAAACATGCAGAAGATTTTGCTAATGCCGATTTTTTAATGAATCTTCCGTATTCATGCAACATTTTTGAAAAGTTGAATTCTCTTAATCTTTCTCTGAAGGGAAAAAACTTGCACCTTTCGAAGTCACAGGAAAAAAACACCAGCTTTTATAAAGAAAATCTCAAGCTATGAAGAAGAAAATTAAATGAAGATGCAGGCAAATTTTGTTTTTTAATATTGCAGCAGTTTTTGACGTCAAATGATCTGTATCTTTCTCAATATATAAAAACTATGTTTGAAGAGCATTCATCACAGTTAATTATCTGGTTTTAGAAATGTTTTCAAAAGGAAAAATGCCCACCAGCGGCCGAGCGGTAAAAGCCGCTGAACACTGGTAGTTCGGTCCGGGGTTCGAATCCCGGCGAACGGGCAGGCTGCATGGACATTTTCGGGGTTTTCCCCATGTGTAACATGGATACGAGCCAGTTTCCCTTAAAAAGACCTCCACTGGGCATCCTTCCCTTTCCATGTAGTGCCTAAGGGCGAAGCACGTAATAAGTATAAAATAAAAGGGAAAATTGTGATAGGTTTACACGGTCTCAAGATCCATTTAATACTAATGCTTCATCTGAATTTATATCTGCAGAAAAACACAGTCTTATTGAGTTATCTTGTGACAACAGTTTGAAAGTAAAATTTGGCAACGTGGAATTCACAGAATTTTGGATTTTGGTAAAAGATGAGTATCCCCTTTTGAGTAATCTGGTTCAGAAGATTCTAATTTCATTTCCAATGACATATTTGTAAAAGGCTGGGTTTTTAGCTGTCACTGTAATGAAAATCAAGTGTAGAGCAAACATCAACGTGAAAAAGGAAATGATGGTGCCATGTCCAGTTTAATTTCATGATTTGGGGAATATGCAGTGGTTAGCAGGCTTATCATCACATTAATTATTAATATTAATAAAATATAAAAGTGTTAAATGATGAAGATAAACAAGTTTTATTTATTTTCCCCCTTACTTACTCTTAGTCCATACTCCTACTTTGGGTAGGGTGCTATGGAAAAATTTTTAACTGAAAAAAGGCACTGTAACTCAAAAAAGTTTGGGAACCACTGTGTTTGTAATTGCTTAGAATTCTTATGTAGAATCTGCTTTTCAAATATTTATCTGGCAATATTCCTATTCTTGATATATTGGAAAATTTTTTGAGGGCATTCAACATATGTTGCAAACTAAATATAATTTGAAACTTTTGCATTAAAAATTCAAAAAACTTTAACAAAAATGATACAAAACTGCTTGAAAATGCAATTTTTAAAAGAAAAGTGTTTGATTGAAAAAATCTTATAAACTGTAGGCTTTCTCTTTTCATACTTACATAGTCTTTGCTGAAAAAGGTTAGAACAGAACTGAAAGTACAACATCATTCATCATCTTAATTATAAAGTATATGATTACATATGTTGGGAATGTACAAGAAGTGTTACAATATTCATAGAAAAAAAACTTCTGATACACTTAGTGGGAAATTGTAATGGAGTATGTATGTATATTAATTGTAGATAATCATTTAATTTTTAGCCCAAAAGGTCTGTTTATCTTGAAAGACAATTTTGCATTTTTCACTTTTCATTCAAGTCTGTTGCCATTTAGAAACACTTAAGATCTTTCCTATTTAATCTGTCTGTTATTAATTAATAAGCTGAACTATTTTAAAGCAATAAATGCAGTTGCTAGTAAAATTATTATTTTTTTCTTTTTTAATCTGATTGATTTAAATAGAAATGCATTTAATTCAGGATCTATCTAATTAAAAACATTAAATATTTTCATAGAATATTCATATTTAACATTAAATATTCCATCATTTCATTTTCATACATAAAATATTTTTTCACTATTTAAATATACAGAAGCTACATGACATTTCTATGTTAATCTAAATGCATAGTCATCTAATTTCCTGTAAAGTTTTTCTCTATTCCACTTGGACCATCTCTGTAAATAACCTCTGCTGATAAACCATATTATACTTTTGGGCAATCATTAAAATATAATCCCCCCCCTATTTGTGTGTGTGTTGGGGAGAACTGTTTATCACATATGTTTTCAAAATGGCAAAGAAATGATTTTAGAATTTTTAAAATTTCATTGATGATATGTTGTTTGTGTATTTGATGGTGACAATTTTTTTTATCATTTTAAAGCTAATTTTAAAATAAAATGTAATTAACAGAATTAAAAAATGTGCTTTATTTTGACTAAAAATTGCATTGCAGTATTATCAATTTTCTATGATTATTGAAATTGAGTTAATTTTGAATGTCTTTATGTACTTAAATATAATACTGTATGAAATCTAAAATCTGGGTGTCTGACCACCAGCATTTATTTATTTATTTATTTATTTATTTATTTATTTTTATTTTTTTTTTTTTAATAAAACACCTCTTTGTTAAAGAAACATATATCTATGATAAATAATTTGGCTTCATAGGAGCCCTTTTGTTCAGCGTGTGTCTCAAACCAAAACATTCTGCCCTTACTCTAATTCCGTGAATGATTTTTTATTATTTTTTGCTTTCATCATCACATGACTATGAACCCAGAGCAGCTTGAAAACTGACTCATGCAGTGATGTCTAAAATGATTTTTGTTTTAAATATCAGTAACGGAATACCAAACAGCAGAGAAACCTTTTATGTCTGTTTTTGTTGCTTGGCAACAGTTACAGTTCACCCAATTGCTTGATGTTAAGTTGTTGATAAGGAGAAATTTAACAGAAACTTCTAAAACTAGGTTTTGTAAACGATATTCATAGGCCATTTAGTGCTATTTAAATTAAGAATAACTGATTTGTTGTTCCAATGAGTTTTAAGTGTGCTTATCTGTTAAGTGCTGCCAGACGTTTGGCATATGGCAGCTGATCTATTGGACATCACTTATCATGTGGTGTGTATGTCATCTATAAACTATTCTTGTAACTAAAAATTGTTTAGAAATAAAAAATCTGCCAAAATGTAGGCTGGTGTATAATGAAAATGTGCCACTTTGTAAGTAAAGTATTTCATCAGGATTCGGATAAGCCTTAACCCTTTCGAGATGCCGTGCCATTGTTTAATAAGACATTCCCTCAAGATGGATGGGAGTCAAAAGGAATCATCCTACAGGACAGGAGTTTTGTGTCACTAAGCCTAACTTAAGGGAAAAAATAATCTCCCCCCACCTCCAAAAAAAAAGTCTAACATCATAATTTTTGGAACTATTTAGCCATCATATATGTTAAAATTAAGATTTAGTAATCTTTTCCATTACTTTCCATAAAAATAAATTGAAAAAAAATTGCTTAGTTTGAGAAATAATTTTTGGAAGCTTTATTCAAAATATTCTGAAATTTTAATTGACAGAATACATTAATAAACTTAAATAAAAAATATAAAAGAGTCTATTTATAAGAAGAAGTAACATAATCTTTCACAGGAAATGAAAGGCAGGTACACAGTGAGCTCAGTCTTTGACAAAATGTCAGAATCAGTGGATATATTGCTGTCTAATAACTCTTTAGAAAATGAATCATCACTCTTATCCATGTCACCAATTGTCTCACTTACTAAACAAGTATATTCTTCCTTTGATGAATAATGCTTTCGTGTCATAATAAACTGAAATCAAGGCTTTCCAAAACAAAAAAAGGAAGTGTGTGAAATATAAGTGATAAAAGCAGTGCAGAGTGTAATAGAACCCCGCATAATAACCCTAAAAGACCTTACATAGTAGCAAAATTAAAAAAAAAAGGCTTCAAAGGAATATCAGAAGCATGAATGTTTCTATCACATGTCGAGTTAAAGAACCAAACTCCCTTAATTATGCTTTGCTTCCTTACCCTACAACAGCTGATGCTGATGTTACACAGAATGTGATCAAACTGAAGGTCAGAGTCCTAAAACTACATTCAGTTCAGAAGTGATGGACACAGGATGTCATCTAGAGGTCTTTAAAAAATGTTTCAGCTTAAAATACATATATGCATCACCTGTCCCTTTTTTTTTTTTTTTTTTTTTTTTTTTTTGCTCTCCAGTCTTAAGTATATACAGAAAATAGCAGTATGTCTAATAAATAGCAAAATTTAAAATAGTTCAGGCTTAATTCTTTCAGCATGTGATATGAGCACGACAAATTTTAGTGGAACAACATATCTCCAATACTGTGTAGGAGAAATTTACTCAACTTTATGCTGATGGTCACGAATTTGACTGTTTTCAGATATCGAAAACAAAAAGTGAAATTTTCTAGTTAATTCATTATTTCATAAATAACTATTTTAGATTTTTTAATTCTAATTTCTACATGTCATCTTACTAGATTTAAACTGGTGATCTAAAATCCGGAAAATTCCCAAATCCAGATCTTGTATTTCGTACTGTATTTCCTTTTATAGAAATGTAAGTATTTTTTAACCCACCAAGCAGCTAAGCCATACGTATATTTATATGGTTGTAACAAAAGTTTTCTGTCAAAAAATGTTCTTAATAAAGTTTGGGGAAAAAAATATGAAAGCAGTACTTTTAGTGTGGATAGTAATCACTACCCAAATCTATAATTTTCTGCCAACGTTTTGGTGATTTTTCAAAGTTTTTGACCCAGAAACTTAGTGGCTACAAATCCAAAAACAGATCAACCTCATTTCGGATGTCCTGTGCAGAATGGAAGATAGCACCAGCAAGATGTAGCTGCAGGTATGAAAAAAGGTAGAAGTCTGAAGGAGCGATGTTGGGCTATATGGTGGGTGGGGCATAGAATCCCGTTTGAATTCATACAGAGTCCAGCCAGATAACGTAAGACGACATGCAGACACATGTCGTCTTGCATTATCTTGATGGGAACATTACCTTTTTTCACTGGAAGTCCATTCAGCATTTTTCCTTGATAGCAACATCAACACAAACTAGCATCTCACTGTACACTGTACTGGTGAGGATTCTACCTTTTCCAGGTACTGTTTATGGATGAACAGATTAGTGCATTTATGTACACATCTGTCCTTATCTGCTTGAGTCAGCTCATATGGAACCCAGCAATTCAACTTTTACGGCAAGTTTATGCAAAGCATAGCTTGACTAATGGACATGGTGCTAATGTCTAACTCCTAAGCAAGCTCTCGAGTGGTTGCATACTGATCTTCTTTTCCAAGTTCTCGCTGGCGGGGCTCATCACATCAGTAGGCTGCCAGAGCACTCTGCTTCCTGACTGTCATAGTCCATGTTTTTGAACTTTCGGTACCAAACCTTCACAGTGTCATATGATACAACATTAGTACCTAAAGCTATACACATAGTTTGGTGACATTCTGCAGTTGACTTTATTGCAACAGAACTGGAAGTAAATGATGGTTCTAATCTGGTAGTGTGATAGTTCCATTTCAAACACCCTGTACTTAATGATAACGATATTGTTTTGCACATTTCACAACACATTATACTAAAGCAAGTCTCTTTCTTTCAAATGTAAAAAATCATTTGACAAAATATTATTAAACATGGCAACATGAACTGTTTGTGCAGAGATATTTGCCATAGTGGGAAACTTTCATTATAACCCTATATACATATTTTGTATATTCAAAAATATTTGTCATGATATTCTTAAGTATGCTATAGACATGGGTCTTGAAATGCATCTGACAATTAAGGTAATGTATGTATATTGGAAGAAAAGAGTAAAGGTACAAAGTGAGAGGGTCATTTCTTGGATTTATAATCTGGAAAGTACCATTTATACTTTGCCTTCTTAGGAAGTTTTAGGTCCAAAAGCATTGCTGCTTTGAGCTAATAACAGTTTCATCCTTCAATATATTACTTTTTTATATAATGTTTTATTGTTGTTATTGATACTGGCTATAAAAGTTCTGTTACATGCATTATTTAATTTTCCTCCCCCTCCTTTTTATTTAATTATTTATTTATTTATTATTTTCTTGCATTATAAGCTGAATGCATGAAAATAATACATTTTCAGTTGTGTATTATTATGTACAAACAGGGTTATATACACACACAGTATTGTTATACACCCAATATAATAATACTATTTTAACATGCAGGTTGGTTATAAAATAATTTCTCCAATATAAGAACCCCTAGTGGCCTATCTACTCAACCAAATGAAATGAAATATCAGATTTTGTTATTTGAAGATATGCATTCAAGATTGTGATTATTTAAAACTGTAGAGCTCTTGTGGTTACAGTGAAACAATTTCAGAATTTTCAAATGCCAGCAGCCACTTGTTTCCTGTACAAATTGATCAGCACCTTGAAGAACCATAAATGGCATTGGAGCAATACATATATGACAAAACTGCCAACATCAAACATTTGGAAGAAGAACATTATAAAAGACCAATGACAACACAGAGAGGAAGTGCATTGACATATTTTGCATAATTCACTCAGGGACAGATAGTAGAAACACCAATCACAGAACACCATGTGCAACCTGTATTATAAGCAATCTGGGATGATTGTTTCTTTAGTCTGGTATTTGAACGTGCTAACAAGATGACACTTGCAGAGAAACAATGAGGAGAATTGATAAAGCTATTTCATCTGAATGGGAAAATGCAACCAAAGCAGTGAAAGTTTGTCAGCAAAATCATAAGCTAAGACAAGGCCCGTGTTCTGTAAAAACTATTCATGATTCAGTAAAAAAAAATATGAAAAAACTGGATGGAAATGTGATAGACCATAATCTGGGTGACCATGTGATCCTGTTGAAATTGTTATGGAAGTACATGATACAATAACTCCATACTGGAAGACATGTTGCCTGCAGTTTGGATGTACCAAAACTCAGAGTCCTGAAGCTCCTGCACTTTGTTCTGCAGATGTTTTTTTATCGATTCCACCATGTGCAGATGTTGCAACCTGGTGACAAGTGACAGCATGTCAGCTTTGCACATTTATTCCTTATCAGATATGATGAACATAGCAGGTAGTCACTGGGGATGTGGTGCATTTCTCCTTAACTGGGAACATAAAGTCCAAGAACGTTCACCAGGCTGATGAAAATCCTCAATATGTGGCACCAGTGCCTCTACCTGAAGCTAAAGTGACTGTGGTGCGGCATCACAAGAACATTCATTTTTGCTCTGTACTTCTTCGAATAGGTCACTTCCACAGCTATGAAAAAATGCTGCATCACAAGTGTTTGGTATACAGCAATGTTACAGAATTCCAGATTTGCAGCAGTGAAATGTTGCTAATGATATTGTACGGATGCAAGATGATGCTCCTCTTCATGTTGCCTCATCTGTTCAGCAAGTGCTGTAACAATACTTTGGAGATCCATTTGGATCTCCCATAACTTTGCAATTTCATGGCCACCAGGATTCCCATCCTTCACTCTAATGGATTTCTGGTTCTGGGGTTATCTAAAGTATACACACCAAATCCGCAAGATTTGTTGGAATTGGAAAAGGGACGTAAAACATGAAGTTAACAGATTTCCCTTGCGATGTTATCTTCATCATTGTTGTCAACAGTCTCCTGCATGCTATGCATTATTGTCCGCAAAGATGGGCACATTGAAAACTTATAATTTGAACAAAAGTCCCCCTTTTTCCTTTCTTATGTTGTCATTGGTCCTTTACAATGCTCTTCTTTGCAATGTTTTACACTGGAAATTTTTGTTGTATATGTAACATTTCAACACAATTGATGGTTTTTTAGTGCTTATCTGTTTGCACAGGAAAATAATTGGTGTTGCCATTAGAAGAAAACTTTGAAATATTTTCACTGTAATCATAACTGTGAGAGCTCTATTGTTTTAAATCCTCACAATCTCTGGTGCATACCTTCAAATAATAATATCTGAAATTTCATTTTGATTGATTTAGTGGATAGGCCACTAGGGTTTCATATATCGAGCAAGTTTTTTAATCACCACCCTGTATTGCACATTGGTATTTTAATTGACTAAAAAAGTTTTTTCCCTTATCTGTCTAGGTGTTAGAGACTACATTCATGTTATGGATTTAGCTGAAGGGCATGTTGCAGCAGTGAAAGAACTGTTGACAAAGAACTTTTGTGGATGCAAAGTATTAATAACATTCTCTTTAATTATTTATTCTTGAACTATTTACAAAATTCATAATTAGGAATATGTTTCATAAAAACCAAAATTCATATTTGCTTTAGTTATTTCTGTACATACTGTCATTATTATCTGTCATTGACCTACTGTTTCACTAGCAATTATGTACTTCACCTCAGTTTTGTTTTAAAATTTAACTGAATTTATTGCAATGCCTAACACTGCTTACTTGTGGATTGGCCTCCAGTTAACTATGAGCCTGTAGGTCATCAGTGACCAATAGTTTTGACAGACACTAATGCACTTAAATTTCATTTCAATTTTAATAAATTTATTTTGCTACAACACAAGTGATGACCCATTAGTTGATCTTAAATGAGTCTCAGTTTCTGGGTCATTAGTGATAAAAAAGATTGACAAGCACAGGTGTGATCAACCAATGATGAAGATAATTTCTAGTAATTTTTCTTCAAGTCTGCAAATTTTATCTGAATCCAAATGTCCTCAGTTGTCAAATATAAGAAATAAAGAAGTTTATAATTATTTATGTGCATACAAAGTATTTTTATTTATGTATTGAAGTAAAATTAATAAATAAAAGAAAGACTAGATTGTTATTATTTATTCTCAAGTTAATAAACTTCCCACTTAATAAACTTTCTATGGAAACTTTGAAAATTTTCATATTTTGTTTATTTTTAGTTCAATGTAAGTTATTTATTGATGCTAGAATTATTTGAAAAGAATGTCAATATAAGAATTTAATATTTATCTCAGTATATTTGAATTATGAAGTAAAATCAACAAAAATATCTTACAAGTACCAAACTTTAGAATTCAGATAGAAAGTAAATATATTTTTTCCTTTGCGATATTATTATTTGTGTATGTTTTGAAAAATATCTAATAAGCAAAATTTAAAATTTATTTAGAATATTTTTTATTTAGTTGATAAAATTTTTCATTTCGTTTAAAGAAAAAATCCCATCATCAGTTTTCAGATTGTGCATTTGGCTGGTATACAGTTTGAGTTTTTGACCACTGCTCTAGTTTGTAGGAAACAAATAGCTTGATTTAATTTATTAAAACTACATGAGCTGCTTTGCCTTTTCCTGGTGGCATGCAGGTTGACTTAATCTGTAAGTTACCAACAATGAATAGCCTTGAAAGATACCAGTGTTCTCCAATTTAATTTCAACTTAAATATGTCAGCCTGTGTGTGGACAAAAGTGTTTTTAAAATATCTTACAAAGTGTAAAAATAGACAATGAGTTCTAAAGTAAGGCGTGTAATGGCATGTGTGTGGCAATGACACATTGAGCTAGTACAAGGAGCTGTTGAGTGATAAATAAAAGCATTTTACTGACTTTTTTTACTAATCACCATTCCATATGCAGATCCTAAGTGGTATGTATTGCTACAGGAATGCATAGCTCGCCAACATGCGTTCTATCTACGGAACTGCATTACTACCCCACCTTTCTGTTTTTGCCAGATATTTTTTAAATCATGCTGTGTGTGTATTAAAGTTTTTTTTTTTTTTTTTTTTTTTTGCAATTAATCTGTAAGGAAAAAGGGCGCACCAGCGGCCGAGCGGTAAAGTCGCTGAACACTGGTAGTTCGGTCCGAGGTTCGAATCCCGCGAACGGGCTGGCTGCATGGGCGTTTTCGTGGTTTTCCCCATGTGTAATGTATATACGAGTCAGTTTTCCTTAGAAAGTCCTCCACGAAGGCATCCCTCCTCTTAGGAAGATAGCCCTCGAGGCTTTGCCATAATCACACACACACACACTGTAAGGAAAAAGGTTGTTTATAATTAAATAGCTAGTGAAAATATACCATTTTAAGGTCTCAAAATTCTTTATTTTAATCAGAATTCATTTGCTATGCTAAGTGTAAATTTTTTTTTATTTATTTTAGGTTTATAATCTTGGCACTGGTGAAGGATATTCAGTACTTCAAATAATAAAAGCATTCGAAGAAGTATGTGGGTTCAAATTGCCTTATAAAATTATTGGACGCAGGGAAGGAGATGTTGATAGCATATATGCTGATGTCTCTTTAGCTGAGAAGTGTTTGGGATGGAAATCTAAGCGTTCACTAAAACAAATGTGTAAGTTCCAAAAAAAAAAAAAGTTTTTCTTCTTTTACATATGTGTATGCTGTAAAATGTTTAATTTTTGATAATATAAAATTTTAACTATCTAAAAAAACTGCGAATAAATGGGAAAATTAAGAAAGCAGTATTATTTATTGATTGTTTTTACTGTATTAATGATGATTGCCTTAATCAAACTGAATACTTTATTTTATTTCTGAAGCATTAATTCCCTATTGGCTGAGCTTAATATTGTTGTTCTATTAGTATAAGATTGCTTAAATAATTTCTTTTGCATCTTTCTGTGAATTAAAATTCCGTGTGTGTTTTTTAGGTGAAGATACGTGGTGTTGGCAGTCTAACAATCCAATGGGTTTCAATACATTATAGCAATGTATTATTCCTAGATGACAGGCATATTAGAATTGTGCTAAAAATATTTTGAAAATATGTTTAATAATAATTACTATTTTGTAAGGTTTTTCTGCAAAATAGTGGTGTCTGAAATCAAAAATAGATTAGGTTGATTTATTATTAAGTTATATTTTATTTTGCTGACTTCATATATGTTTTGTGCAGAGCACTTTTAAATAACTGAGAGAGATTATTTACTTTGAAATTTTTTCTGGAAAATCTTTTATACTAATATAACTTTTTATGCTTATTCTTCACAAGCTTGTAATTAATGAATGTATAACATGAATAAATGTAACAAATTCTGATAAATATTTTTCACCATTTCAGGTTTTTTTCATAATTTTTGTATAATACTTTTGCTTCTGAAATTTTTACAGTAGAACCTCTATATTTTTGACTCATTGGTTTTCCTATCTTAGATAGCTGGAAGTGTTTGTTTAATATATGTTATCTTTATTTTTATCACAAGAAAATTATTCAGGAACTTAACTTTTCCCACATAAATATGTTTAGCATATATTCTTTTATTGAAAGCAATCAGTGCATAATTCATAATTTTAAACTATTTTATCAGAAATAGCTTATTAAGAATCAGAATGTATTTTGAAGATGTTTTTGATAAAAATCTTTTAAAATCAATCATTATGTAACTTAAAATTCTCTAAATTCAATTGAGGTTAAGAACTGTGATTTGTTTTATATTTATTCTTTGAAGTTAGCTAGAAATTATATATAACTAAAGATATATATGCTAGAAATTATATATAACTAAGAATATGAGCTAAGCATCCAAAAACAGAGAACATAACAGTGATTATTAAGCACTTTTATAACTGATTTAAAACTACTGCAAATGAAAGGTAGTAAATATGCAACAAGCGAGAGCTTAAAAATAAAAATATTTACTATCATCTTGAAAAACCCCACTCTTCCTGATCTTGAAGAACCAAATAAAAAATTTAAATAAAAACTATTATAATTTTCCCTCTGTGTTGGCAATAAAATTTTTGATAATTAGCATATAATTGTATTTTGGATTTTTGATAAAATTATTTACACTTACTAATTTTTATGTTTACTGAATGCTGTTCGTTCCAAACTTTCAAAAACACAACATTTTTTTTTAATACAAACTAAACCATTCAAGAAGGCATTGCAACCCAGACATATCTTTGGCTTCCTGAGTTAAATATTATTATAATTTGGTTCCTTGTTTCTCTTTTTCGTGACAATTTTTTTTTTTTTTTTTTTCTCAGATAATTTCAGCTTGCATGCTCTGGTTCATCTGATTCATAAATGCAGACTTGAAGTGTGCAGAGCTTCTGACTTTTATTTTCTTTTATTTCTGATCAGCTTTTGATTTTTAAATTTTATTTTCTATGAGAATTATGTTAAATATTTCCATCTCTTTCTTTTACTGACTATATATACAAGGTATTCCAAAACGAATAAACATCTGAATCTCTTTTAAATAGTTGAACATAAACAAAAGATCCAATATAAGATACTAGAGTAATTTCGAGTAGATTAGTTAGTTGCCTTAACATATATGGCGCACACATGATAATTGGCTGAAAAGTAGTGAAAATTCATTGGATAAGCTGCACCACTGTGTACACTGCAGCAAAGAATTACAAAACAAGGCACTATTAATTTATTCAGTAATTGTGTTTTATACTGATGTAATCATCATTGGTAACATTTTAATACATTTACAAAATAGCCATAAACAGTAATATATAAATAAATAAAAAGTATAAAAACATCTTACTTTGAACTTTCCAAAGTCAAAATCTGCTGATTTCTAATAGACATTATTTTTACGGGTTTGGTAAAGTTTTTTATTGCTTTAAATTACCATACTGTGAAAAAGAATATATATAAATTAGATAATGAAACAAAATTTTATAATTAAAATAAATTGCATTTATTTATACAAAATATTCAAAATCTGATTATCATCAGAATTAAATAAACTTAACAAATGAGCATCAAGGTCGCTTTTGTAACTTGGTTTTAAATTACGTCTTTCAACATCACTATCTTCATTTTCATCTTCTCTTTCAATTATTTCTGATTTAATGAAAGTTGATATGATTATATCAGTTTGGACTGATTGCCATGCTTTAGTGACCCACAAGGCAACCTTCTCATTATAAACCCACTTGGTATCACTGAGACATCGGTGCTGTTCTTTTGCTTCAGATTTTACTGTATTCATTAAACAGGATCGCATTGACTTCAGAACGATGAATCCCCAAGAAAAAAGAGCCTTTCTTTTTTTAATAAATTTCTCTCAGCCAAAACTATATCACTTTTTTGCACATCCACCCTTTTTCATTGGTGCAAATAATGACTTCTTTAGGGCATTTGCTTTCAAACTGTTTTTATTTTTTAAATTATCAAAGAGACTAACTTTTCTTCATTGGCAGTACAAGCCAAAACACAAGTAAAAGAAGTCTTTCCATTCTGATTGTTAACACAAAATATTTTTAACTTATTGAATGAACAGTTCTGCTTAGAAAATAATCAAAAGTAGAAGGGGGTATCCTTCTTTCATGTTAATTATTTGCCCTCTATTGAAATTTTGTTCTCGAATTCTTTTCTTTTGTTCTTTCTCTTAGCCCCCCCACCGTGGACTGGGGGAAAAAGCTGTCTTCCCCCCTCCCCCCAGTCCAAGGGAAGCTTCTGATCAACTGTTATTTTGGTCCTGAAGGATAATTTCTTTTATTTCATGAATCTGGAACACCAATAAAGTTTTTAATGCTCATTTGTTGAATGATTACTTTTGCGAAGACAAATTGTAACTGTTGACACTGATAATTCCTTTTCTCTCTGCTCTTATTCATTTCTCTTAATTGTTTTCCAAAACAGACCAGTCTTTGTTGCCAGTTCTGCATGGCCCTCTATTCTTCGCACATTTTATAAGTTCTGTAAGCTACAGAGTTCAGCAAGAAGAATATAAATTATTACGTCGTGCACCCTATTGTAGTAAGGCTAGTTTCACTCAAGGTAGAACTTGGTGCCCTGGCTTTTAGCACAACCAAAGTGCTCATATGAGGCTAAAATGTTGTAGCAAATTCTACATTAACTGTTTTGCTTGGGCATAACTTGCAGTTTAAGCTAGTGAAATTCTAAAGATGGTGGAAAAATAAAATTCCTTCAAATAAGCCACCCCAGCAGATACACCGCAGACCTAACTTTTAAACACATATAAACCATGGCTATCTCCCCAAAATTATGGTAATCAAAAAGAGTAAACATTAAAACTGTGATACTTGTAGGAAACAAAATTTGAATTATCATATAGTGAAAATTACCTGAAAATAACCTAATAATTAACATTGTTTAAAATTTTAAGAGGGGGGTGTCTGTCTGCACAAAGCTTGTTTTAAACATCTGCACATTAATTTTTTTAATATATATATTAAATCTTCAGAAGCATTAGTTACAAATATCCATTTGCATAAATGAGGAAATTTAGAATTCTTCATTTTGTGAATTGAGTCATTATATTTATGTATTAAATTAACTTGATTTCTTAAGTAATAATGATAAATTGATTTTGATTTTTTCCCCTATTACATGAAAATCAAATATATGGAATATTTTAAATAATGTGATAAACTTATATGTGGCATGGTGCATTTATTCTTATATATACGTAGGTTGGGGCAAAAGTCATGGTAACTATTTTTTTTCTTCAAGATACCAGTCCAGTTGAAAAACGTGACATACACAGACGAAAGAACAAGTTCTTAACTACATGTGTGGACAATGAATACCAGCGAAATATCATAACATACAAATTTATTACGGTAGTATACAGGGCAATATAGCCTTCACCGTGCAAAAAGAATGATAACACAATACACGTAAAGTTGACATGACAAACCTGGGCCTAAAGACCCTCAATGTAGCCCCTGCTGTCACCACACGCTGCCATTGTTGTGGGAGGCGCTGAATACCATCAGCCTAAGCATTTGCCGCACCATGTGTGAATCGGGTCATCTGTTGGCACAGCATTAGCAATGGCCTGTCGTGTTGCAAACTGCCTACCACGTATTGGTTCCTTAATCTTGGAAAAGAGATCAAAGTCACAGGGCGAAAGGTCAGGAAAGCACAGTGGGTGCTCCAATTCTTCCCATCCCCAACGTCGGAGTAGCTGCCGTACACACTCTGCTTTATGTGGTCTTGCATTGTCGTGCAGAATTATTGCACTGTCCACAAGATCCGGACGTATATCCCGAACGCCATGTCATACCTGTCGCACCAGAAAGTCCCTGTATTACTGTGTGGTCACTGTTCTGCCATGAGGAACAAAGTGGCTAACAATGACACCCCTGACGCCATCACGACGATCACCAGCAATTTGACTGGGGAAGGATTCTGATGCTAGCCCATTGCGCCATATCCTGCGAATGATGCGTTTCTCGATGCCACTTGCCCTCTCTAACTCCAGTAATGTTTATCGTCTGTCTTCATCCATGAGGTGCTCCATGACGGCACGTGCCAATTCGGTCCGCACACTCACCGGTCATTCCGAACTTTGCTCATCACTGGTTGACACATGTCCTTGTTGAAACTTTCCTAACCATTGTGCTACTGTACGATATGGTAGGGCATTATTCCCAAGGGTTCTACTAATTCACTGTGACATTCCATCACATTTCTCCCTCAGAGAATGGCTATTTTGATGTAAGCTCGTTGCTCAACACGGCTTACTTCCATCTCGCACAGCACTCACAAACTGACTGATTTCAGAGCCCTCGCTACCACAGAGCCGTCTGTAGTTCTGCATATACACTATGCCTGCAGAACTTCCACACGACACATATACGTTTTGTGATCCGTTCACATATCTACAAGAAAAAAAAATAGTTGCCATGACTTTTGCTCCAACCCTCCTATATACTGCATATGTAAAATTTTTCCAAGTATTTATACTTATTCTGGAAATTGTCCATGTAATTTATTCATCTATAGATTTTTATATTCTTTGATTTAATCATATATTTTTGGACAGTGTTGAATTAATGAGGTTCTGCTGAATTTAATTTTTCTCGTATATTTTATTTTAGAAATAGTTTCTTGAAATATTCAAACAATGTTATTTGTGAATGCTTTTTTTAATATATTTTAAATATCTAATTATACAAATTATTAAATATTCTATTCAAAAAATAATGCATAATTTTTGTGCATGTGTTGCTTTTGATAAAAGTCTTGTTAATAGATTATCTTGTATGATTCATTTGTTTGGACACTGATGTTTTATATTTTATAATTATGTAAATGTTAAAATTAATTTATTATGATTATATGGCATTATATGTAAAAATAATGGAATTTTATGTGCTTCTAGAGTTTTTATTTAAAACACTGGATTTTATGAGCTTGAAATCTGATTGGCACACAATAAAAATCTAATTGATAATACTGAAAATTCAGTATTATGAATCACATTTTTATAACCATGTTGATATATTTCAATATGTGAATTTGCTTTTCATGTAATAACTCCCTTCATCATATCAGAAAACTAAAAAAATTTTCAATTTATTCCTATGGGAAAGTGCAATAAGTTATTATTTATCAAATAATTTTTGAAATATAATATGCTGAATGTTTTATTGATATAATGCAGTTCATTGTTTTTTTACAAAGTGATCAATTTTCATTTGATTTTTCTAGTCAGCATTAATTTAAATTTATAATCAAACTTTGAAATTATTTCATATTCTTTAGTTCAATTTTCTTTAATTATGTTTCTTTAATATTGGGATTTTTATTGATCATTGATATATAGGCAGATATCAATGATCAGATTTCATGTTCTTTAGTTCTAACTAAAGAATATTTAGACTAATAACTAAATATTGGGTATTCATATTTTTTGTGATTGTCCTTAGTTACTTTAATTTTTGTAAGATAATTTATATTTTCGAGATAGTTATATGTATAAAATTTACAAATATGTATAGCATTTCATCATAAGTATAAACTGTTTTCAATTGAAAAAGCATTTAAATGATTTTTATAAACATTCAAGTCTGAAGGAGGCAGCAGAAGGATTTCCGGTATTTTATCTTGCTGAATTAGCATATCAGATCTATGCTAAAATTTTATTGTGTAAAATGTGAACGAGACAGTTGAAAAATGTAAAATAATTTAATTAGTAAATTGTTACAATAATTTTTATTTATAAAAAAACAAAAAATTTATAATGTGTATTAAAAAAATTTAGTATTGAGCAGTGTATAGCATAATGCTGAACCAACATCAATTCTTTAATAACAATATATTTGTAGTTAATTAAAAACTTAAATCTTTTGCAGTCATATGTACATGTATAATTTTTATTGTATTTTTATACAAATATATTATTACCATAGGTAACTAAGTGATGATATTTTCTTTTTTAAAATTTTTTTTTGAACAAATCATGCCTTTCTGGATATTTTTCCTTTTGTGAATGGCTTATTAAATGATGAAGCTTTATTTTGTTAAGTTTTCTGTATGTTGTATTTATGTTATCTGTGTATCATAATACTTCTGCTATGTATCATAATACTTAAAGCTATATCAAAACTGCATGGATTTTCTTGTTGCTTTTGAAATATCAACTGATTTTCTAAGAACTGCAAATCAGTTATTCTCATAAGTACTAGTCTGGATATGAAATTGAAAAAAATGGGGGGGGAGGTGAAAATCCTTTTTTTAAATGTTAAACTAGTCTTATGTTACAATGAATACTAGTCTATATAATTATGTTTCTAAATATTAGTTCTTGTCTTGCAAAAGTTTAAGTATAAATAAAATTATTTCTAAGTCTTATTTTAATCTTTTTTCTTTTTATTTATCAGCCAGTTGTGCAACCATCCACCTAAAACAGTTAATGTATGTATATATAATAACTAAGCCTAAAACACTGAAATTAAGCTGAGCCTAAAACAGCTTCAGCACAAGTTTATGCGCATGCGCGTTTAATGTATAATAGACGGTATAAGCTCAGCTAAAATTATGTAATTCAGTTAATGTTACTGTTTGCGCTGTTCCTTAATCTTCGAATTAGATCCGGCTTATTATTTTTTGCAGACTGTTATAGCAATTTTATAAAAGTAAGCTTGAACTATCGATTATCTCAAATAGAATTTCCGATATATATTTACTAATATGTAAAGGATCTACAAAGCGACAGTCCATTAAACAGAAAGTGGAATTGCTGCAAAAAATGAATAAAGGCATATCCTTTGATTATCTAATCATTCCGAAATATGTTTATCAATTTCACGCTACTCTGCGGGGGGAGGGAAACGACGCGGCACGCAATGAATTGGAAGTTGATCTGTCAGCACAATCCTTATCTTCAGGGCAAATGTTTTTATTTTATTTGGCTTATAATTCCTTACTAAAATGTATTTCATCTCAATGTACTCCGTCTTGATATGATTTAAATCAAGTTCCTTGTCATTATAATTCGCTTCCAATAGTGAAGAAAGTGACACAGACATTATTGAAAACAAAAAAAATTTGATTGACAAATTAGTCGGTATTCTCGACACAGCAATTATAGGACTTGAACAGCGGAACTTTGTAACTAAACAAAAAATTATGTCTGTTTAATAGTATTTCATCTTGATGTACTCCGTCTTGATATGATTTAAATCAAGTTCCTCGTCATTATAATTCGCTTCCGATAGTGAAGAAAGTGACACAGACGTTATTGAAAACAAAAAAATTTCGATTGACAAATTAGTCGGTATTCTCGACACAGCAATTATAGGACTTGAATAGCAGAACTTTGTAACTAAACAAAAAATTATGTCTGTTTAATAGAATTAAAGAGAAAGTATTATCACATGAAACAAAGCAACTTAAACAACTTACATTGAAAGAAATGTTTAATAAAGTAAACAATAATATTAAGCTTTTCTATTTGTAAATTTTGATACCCTTTAGATCATAATTGTCTTTATTTCATAAATTACGGTTTCATATTTAATTTTATAATTCTGCATGCCATCTTCCAGATTAAACTGATGATCGAAATCCGGAATTGCCCGTCCCGACGAGTCCGGATTAACGACTTTTGACTGTAGATAACAATAGAGATGAAGAACTGCAACTATTGCTTTTAAACTGATAGTTTTAATCAATAACAGAGTAATTAAATTTGAAAGAAAAATTAAATATATTAAATTGTCAACTTTGTTGATTAAATTGAAAAAATAAATATCTTATACTTTGCTGAGTGGCAGCTTATTGGTTTTATCATCAAGTTTTTTAGTCAAAATTTCATTAAGTTTGCACGAAACAAAAAGTAAGTAAAACACAAATTCATTTTTAACACTAATTATTTTTTTAACTAGCTAAAACTGGTTTTAAAAAAATTCTGTGATCCATTATCTTGCCAACATGAAAGTTTCACCAGGAAAGCACCTTTATTCAGCAATAATAATTGCTGCTATTAACATATTTTATTATTTCAAATTTATTACTGTATTATTGCATATATTTCTGTCCATGTTTATCTAAATGTGTCATTCTAATTTTTAGAAATAACTGAAAATATACAAATGTTGTCCGTACATTTTTAGACTATTTTCATTGTAATTATAGAAATATTTTACCTAAAATTTTTATGTTTTGAATATTCTGTTTGATAACCCTTATTCGTCACTACATTTCTACACTGTAATTTCGAAGACAATAAAGCCTTTTGTAGTATCGAAAGAGCTATTTTATCCCATTGCTCACGAGTAGCTTTTGGCACACCTGCGGCCGAGTGGTGAAGTCGCTGAACACTGGTAGTTCGGTCAGAGGTTCGAATCCCGGCGAACGGGCTGGCTGCATGGGTGTTTTCGTGGTTCTCCCCATGTGCAACGTGTATACTAGCCTGTTTCCCTTAGAAAGTCCCACGAAGGCATCCCTCCCCTTAGGCAGATAGTGCCATAATTCAATACACCACATCACACACCAGTAGCTTTCCGAAATCTAAGGAGGTTGTAGGTCAACGTTTGGATAGACCGCTTTTTAAAAGTCCGAAAGCTCAAAAATACATTGGTGACAAATCAGGAAATCTGAGTGAAGGGTATGTATGGCCTTGATACCCATTTCTTGGTTAATTTTTTCCACGAAATTAATAGCAGATTTAGACATGTCGCTCCTTGCTTTGTCTTTATACATTTCTACTGATTGATCACACTGTGTGTAAAGAGAATGTATTTCATACTTGAAAATAGGATGTAAAATATGTTTTTGATATGCAGGGTTGATTTTAACATTTTTATTCACTCTCTTTATTTTTAATTTGCGTTGTATGAAAACCGGTGCTACTTTGGTAGACTAATGCACGGATTTTGGCGAGTGATACGACTTATGGTGAACCCATTGCTAGACAAGTTATTTATGGTAACTGATACTTTGTTGTCATTTTATTTTTTAAATAATGCATTTTATTATGGATAAATTCCGTGTTTTAAATATTATTTATGGCTTCTAAATATTAAAAATGAATTTAATTTTCACTTTTATTTCAAATAAAATTTAATTGTTTAGATATTTATATATTTATGTTGTTTTGTAATCAATGAACCTTACTTTGTGGTTTAATATCTATAAATTTAATCTAATATTTTAAACATTATTTAGGGCTGTTAAATATTAAAATACAATTTAAATTTGCATTTTTTTTACAAAATCATTTTATTTTGTATGATTATTTAAATAATTTTGATGCGTGATGTAATCAGCTCCCTGATTAGTTACTGAATATTTGTGCATTACCGTGCCACTTTAAAATTTTATTGTTCATCTCTTCGAATTTCTTAGATTTCAAAGCGAATGGATATGTCCGTTCCGTTTCGAAGATGAATGTTGTTATTGGTAATTACAAATAATTATTGGTATCGGAATAAAAAAATTGTCCTTTGGCACCTTATTTTGGCCAACTAGGCTTTCCTAATCAAAGATTTATTTATAATTTGTTACAAGGGTCAGAGAAAATTTAATAAAAATTTTGGAGGAAACCTAGCTAATGCCTTCTTCAGCAATGGCAGCAATTTAACATATGTTTTAATGTTAAAAGAGATGATCCGAGACCTGTATATGGATTGGGTCACGGGAGAAGAATAACCGGCTGTAATGGGTAAAAAAAAATTAGAAATTCCTCCTTTTTTACCAGCAGTAAACTTCTAATTGCTGTCATTTAGCTCTAGTGTGCGAAGCGTTCTTTTATTTCCTTATTTTGGTACTTTCCGTTCGCCTCTCAAATCTCGCAAGCGATTATAGGACAACAACGTATACTAAAAAAATGTTAACAGATGTTAGTTCAAGAATTTTTTTCTGAAGCAAACATTTTACTTACCATTTACAATTTTGTAAAAAGTCAATAAATAAAATCAATAAATTTGTAAAAAGACATTAATTTAAGAATTTGTTATGCTTTCATGATTCAGCATCCTGATTCGCCAGTTCATTTCACGTGACCACAAGTGATCTCATCTCACGTAAACTACACTACAAAAATCTAATTCAGTAATTATCTACATTAATTTCAAGTTAAATCTTAATTTGGAATACAAGTTTTAATCCAAGAATTAGTTCAATTGTACGAAGCTTCCAATTATGTAAATGCAGTGCTTACCTTCGGTAGTGCATTTCCTTAGAATGGATAATTTAACCCTTGACTTCCCTTTCTATTTTTGCCAGCAGGTGAGCAGTGTGCACCCTAATTGACTTAATTACCTGAATGGTCTTAAATTGAACTACTTGCAAAAATCTATGTAATTGTATGCCAGTGTTAGAAACATCAATCTGATAAAAAAAATTACTGCTACTTTTTTGAAAATGGCCGTAAAATACCAGCGAGGATATTCCATTTCGCATTAGTGTACAATTATTGCACTCATTGCCTGCGCGGTAAAACGGAAAGTACCCTTATTTTAAAGTATTTGAATTTAAGTAATATTTTAATTCTTTTAAACATTGGTATGATGGTTTTTAATTCATATAAATTTTAAGTAATATTTTAATCCAATTAA